TTAGAAATTAACCTAATTTACGTAAGATATATATATATATATATTTAATTAAAATATAACATATTAAACTCTGACCGATTTTTCACTTTTTATGTTGCACGTATCTAAAGTATTCTGATGCAGGCATAGCATTTGACTTATTTTGGACTTCTTTTGGGATACAAATGGGTTTCCAACTAAATATTTATAAATTCGCAACACTTGGATAAATGAAGTAGGAAATGAATGGAATAAAAATTATTTTGAGGTTGTAAAAATAAAATTATTCTAACGCTGAATTTAAACAAAAACATATTGTTAGAGTTTACGGAACAAAAAAGAAAAGTCCACTAATCATCGTCAAAATTCGAACTACAGGTCTTTCATTGTGGTATTTCATTTCTAGGTGGAAAATGTTTTCTACTCGATTTGGCACTGAAAGAAAGACACATGATTTTTTTTTCCTTTTTTTTTCGGGGAGGGAGGAAACAATAAAAAGGTAAGTAGCTCCTTATCAACCAATCAGTTCTGAGTATAAAATCCCCAAAGTAATCTATGGTTATTAACTGTTTTATATGATGTAACAAAGCAGAAAAAAATTGTATTAAACAGTTGTTCTTCCGAAATTTGGGATGCACCCTTGTACTCAGTTTACTAGATAAATGCACTGAGAACTTAAACCACAAAAGCATACAGGGGTAAGCCATAATTACTTACAAGACAATATGGCACCCGAAATATTATTCCGTACTGATGTATGAAATTCATGATATTAGAAACTTTATTTATTAATTAAAATAATGATTCAGATTTTCGTAAAAATTATCAACTAGATATAGTATAAATCACGTGAATTAAACATATGATAATTTTCATCAACCAGAACTAATACTGAAAAATAAAATAAATATATTATTAAGGCACATTGCTTTCGTTTTATTAAATTGACTAAAATACTAATTTAATACACTAAGTAGATTTTGATTTTAAAGATAAATTACAATCGTATAGCACGTCGAATGAACCTATCGAAACACCTTCGAGAATTAGCAATTTCCACACCCGCGAAGATAATAAATGAAATATCTCCTTATTCTTACAGAGCAACCGCTCACGAGTAAATAAATTGCCTTGAAGCGCAAAGTAACATGATATAGTATATGTATTTATGACGTAAAGAAATGGAATGCGTTAGCTGTAAACATTTTTAAAGTCAAAATAAACAAGTTTTTAAAAGTACGTCATTTCCGGGCCAGCAGCAAACAATTATTTACGGGTGGTGCAAAATCAAGAGAATTTGCAAATTATGTCTTTTTTTACAAAAGGTATTGAACAAAAGCTATTAATTATGCCGCCGAAGAATTACACAAATATTCACAGTCAAATACATAAACGCACCGTGCTGCCTAGTTGTCAATCCGGAGGACATACAGACGTACGAGGGGTTTTCGGCGATTGGGTGTGCTCGTACTTTTTCACGACATTCTCTGCGTTCCTCGCAAGAGTTGGGTAACTTATATAAGGTATCACGTAAAATAAGTAGCAACGAATGCATGGATAACGAAATGAGATGAAGGCAGGCCACTCACAAACGCAGGTGGGTTCAGAATCCAACGTAACGCACAGTGTCATCTGCAATTTGCAGAAATAGTTTCTGGACACTAAATACATATCGAGAACAACTGGACAATATTGACAAGATTCACAATGCTGTTAAAGATCTTTGTTATGCACTTTCAGCCAGCGCAGATCTTCCCTTATCAGGGAAGAGGATCATTGCGATGGTGGAGATGTAATGATTTGAGCAGACAACCCCAACCCCGCAAACCCCTGTATGTGTTTGACAAAGGCTCCTTGACTGCTGTGAGTTATAAAGAGGAGATCGTAGAGCTTTATGTTTGACTTTTCAGGGGCGCAGTTAGACCTGGGTGCCTCTTAATCGTAGAAAACGCTCGTCCACATAGGGCTCAGTTGGTCGACGATTACCTGGAAAGTAAGGATATTCGCCGCATAGATTGGTCAGCCAGATCTCCTGACCTTAACTCCATACAAGAGATATGGAACACTCTTTAGAGACAATTTCATCTTGCCATTCCCGGAGAGAGCCATCTCGGAGCTGAAAACTGCCTTACTGCAGGAGTGTGTTCGACTGCTACAGGGTCTCTTCAACTGCCTCTTATCCAGTCTGTGAGAGGAAATCACACTCCATATTATACTCATTTCCAGTTCGATATCACAACGTGGATTTTGGAGATACCAGAGCTATCAGCTTTAATAATAATCATGGTACATAAAAGGACTTTTGAATTTTCGTTCTCCGTTATAAATACCGAAATTCGTTAAAATCTGTCCATTTGTCTTTCAGAAATTCGGTATAATATGCAAATACTGCTGATTTCCACACGCATCTCCTTTTTGTTTAAAGAAACTAGAGACGTTTGAGTTTCTTTCCAAAATCATATCCTTTTTTAATATATTCAAATCCCCACTTTACGTAGCATCGTATTTGAGTTTTAGATAACATTAAGCACTTCCTGTAAGTGTAGAGGCTTAATTATCATCAGCAAAGGCTTGCATTTATCTCGTTATGTATGAATAACTTTAGTATTAATATACATCACGGAAGTTTAGTTTAGCAAAGTATGTATTCATTTTTTGGAAAATTATGTGCACAATATAATCTCCATCCAAGGCAGATACAGGGATAAAGTATTTCAACGTAAAAAGGAGCATAGCAGCTTTTGTGGCCAAATTTATTTATTCAAACCTGCAACATAGCACAAGAGCACAGCTGATTGTTTCAGACTTTCCCTCATGTTTTCATTTGCCTATTCACCTCATATATAATTTTCTAACTTCTTAGATCTCTGCTTAGATCTCATGCGTCTACAGTCGCTTTGCATCGAATATTTACATAATGAAAATACTTTATGTATTATTAGTATTAAATGGCATTACTTGTACTACAGTAACCAACGTAATAAAATTTTCAGCTCTTGTATCTTCCGAATGTGACGTGCAGTTAAAAAATGAAAAATACTTTATATTTTTTTGTAGTAGAGTAGAGAAATAGTAGAAATAGAGATAATAGTAGAATTTTTGAAGAGAGAAATTTTAATAAACGTTTGCTACTAAAATTGGGAGCTCAGTTTATATATCAGCTGAAAATTGTTGACAAATAGTTTGATCATAAAAATGATATAATAAGTTAACTAAATGAAATAGTTTTATTTTGTTTAGTCCTAACTGCATGAAATCAAATTTCTCCACATGGAAATCTGATTCGGTATCTTCTGAGAATTTTCCAAAACCTTTGTTAGATACAATGTCATCATTCTTCATTTCCATTAATATCATTATCATCTATCTTGCTGATAACATCATCTTACGTTTCATACATAGAACTGCTTAGCAAAAGTGATAACGTTTAGTTTAAAACTAGCAGAATATGCAGTCGTTTTGCTCGTCCATCTTTCACTATATAGCAGAAATGAAGAAACGAATTTCACGTGTAAAAATTAAACCACTGAACTAGAAAAAAATCTTATGACTACTTGAGAATACCTTAATTTAGTGCCGTAGAAAGCTTGGCCTTCTTTACTTAGTGCCAAACAAAAATTCGCCACCGTATTCAGGACACCACGATGAATGTACTCAAAACGCGCATCCCCTTTATATCATTAAATCCCCGACACACAATTGTTATCCAGTTGGCATGGAAGAATTTGGGGTTTTTTTCTGAAAAACACAATACTATTTTTTACTCACAGCATTTGGAAGCTACCTTGCCACCTGATTGGTACAAAGATTTTATCTGTATTCATAATTAGAACACTTTTCTGTTGGATGTGTTTGTCGTCCGAAATGATTGTCTAATGGCACCATCATTTTAGCTACAGTTAAAGGTAACTATCGTTAGAAAACTACATTCTGGTTTGTTAATGACGATAATTGCCGACAGAGGGCAGTAGTGAAGATTTATGCTAGTCACTGTTCTACTAATACCGAGACTCGATTTCGAGTCGCTGTATGACCGTATCATGATTTCTCGAACGATTAACTCAAAAAGGCATTTTTACAGCTTGAATAGATATGTGAGCTGAAAAATATCATATCTAAGCCATATCTTTTGTAGCGAGCAAAGTCACTGCACAAGTTTTAAACAGAAAATGAAATAATATTTTCAGTGCACAGATAATAGTGCTAGATTATTCATTAGTGCACGCTTGAAACAAAATAATAAGGAACCTTCTTGCTGCGAATGCCGCCTAAGAGGACCTCCTCTAAAACAGACCCATGCTTTTGCAAACATAGGTAAATATCAATAATTAAACATCATCTCTATACGACGTAACAGAATACTAAAATATCTGGAAATGTGGATGCTTGTCTGCAGGGCCGGATTTAGATTTCATAAAGCCCTACGTTAGAGATATGGAGCCTTTTATAAGTCCAGATATTATAAGTCAGTGCCAAATATGATTTTCGGACACCTAGAGGGTTTTTGGAGGGCCCCAAGAAAGAGGGGGCCTAAGCTATAGCTTGTGTAGCTTATACGTAAATCCTGCTCTGCTTGTCTGAGAGAGAGCTCACTGTATATTTAACAAAGAGTTAATTCATTGTAAAAAAGATCTCATAATTTAATTTATTTTTCGCATTATACATATATAAATAAAACAAAAAGATATGCATACATATTTTGAGTATAATTTCGCTGCACAGTCATATCGCCTCGTATCCACTGACTCAATCTGCGGTTCTACTTTATAAGGTATTTCTCCCGCCTGTTTAGCATGCCTTCGTGAAGTAATGGTCAGCATACTTGGCGCGTATTCGAGAGGTCCGAGGTTCAAGTTCCGGAGAGGCCATTGCTCAATTTTCATGACTCTTGCTTCAAAATAACCTAATGTCTCTACAACTTGACGGCAATATAAAGTTTTTACACTGTAAACAGTTTTTATACAAAAAAATAAAAATTAACCATAAAATGTTTTAAGATACTAAAGCGATCATTATTTCAGGTAATCCGCAATGCATCGGAGTTGCCCACCATCTCCGAAGAGGCCTTCTTCCAGAGCTAATGACGAATCTTCTGTGGAAGACTATGAAGAAGCATACCTGGATGTTGATGATGTGGATATGGAATACAATATTGACGATCCAGCTGAATCTTCAGTTCATGGAATAAATATTGAGTCTAGACCATCATCTGTAACCACAGCAGATTGGGAAGAACCTGAATCCTGGATAACAAGCATGGCCAACAGTGAGAGCCTTCCAGTGAGCACTCCTTGTAGCAGCTCAGGAGCATCCCCCATAGCAGAGACTTCAAGTCAAGGTGTGTCACCTGGTCTTAAAAACAATTTAGAACAAGCATTCCCATTCAACATTCCGGAGGATGCAGACCAATCGTTATCGTCGATCAGTGATGTTCTCCAGGTCGAGAAAGATTTCATGGAATATGTGATGTCGTTTCCCCTGAATGTATCAAGTGTTCCCCCACAGTTATTGCCAGCTTCAGCTGCAGGTGCAAAAAAGCCCCAAAATGATTCAAACCCTAAAATAGGTCTTGACCATTTAGACAATCTTTGTAAACTTATGGAACAACTTAGTGACTTGAAAGAGGCTAATATTAAACTCAAAAGAAGGGTTCAGTACTTGGAAGACATAAAAACTTTACACGAAATACACAAAGAAATGGCAGGGGAAAGGAGATTGTACAGTTCAGGACTCAGCGAAGATGAAGTACAACAACTTAAATCCAAACTCGATGAATCTCAGGAAGATGAACATTCAGCAGAAAGTCAACCAGAAAGTAACCATGAAGAAATAGAATCCGAAGACAGACTTCAGGGACTGTACAGAAGCAAAACTGCAAATCAAATACCATCCACTACAGAATATAAAGTAGAAAGAGGACATAAAAGTCGCAGTGCGACTATAAGCAAAGAAAGACGAGAGCGAAGCAAATCTGTTGGACATCCAAGTCATTCTAAATCTAATAAACCCAAAAAAAGGCCGTCACGCTGGTCCAAAGTGAAAGAAGTTCTAGGAATTGAAAAGGCTGATGAGTTTTCTACCGCTGGTGAAAGTGAAGTAAGTAAAGATGAAAGATGCAAAGCTGAAATGGAGAGAGAACAAGGTTTGCAAACTCGAAAGGAAAGCGAACAGTCCTCCAAGGTTCATAAGTTATCGTCCTCTAGATCTCATACGAGCGTCCTCTCTTCGAGAAGTTTTTCGGAAGCGGAAAGGCAAACCAAAAATTTGACTCCTGGTAAGTCATTCAGTATATGCTATATTTCCTATATTTGTCTTTTCTATATTTTAACTGTAATTTTACAACAATGAAATCTAATGTAGTTATATATCTCATGATTAAATCCGTCACACATTACTTCCGCTGTCTTAGCGAAGTGAATGAGGCCTAGTGATCAGTTCGACGTAATTTCATGTTCCTTGGAAGAAATTTCTGCAGGCAATCGTTTATGAAAATGCACAGATAAGAATAACCAAAATGAAATCTCGTTTATGTGTTCTTCTCAATTCAATACCTCATACCATATCTAAAGTTTTTTCTTGCCTACTTAAAAGTTCCCATACTTCTGTAACTTCACTTTTGAGTTTGTTGCATATTCTTAGGGTGCGCTTTTATTTCTTTAACTGTCAAACCAGGCTACACTATTAATGATTAAATTAGTAAATAATTTTTATGAAAACTCTAGTCCTAAACGCTACCTAGAAAACGCATGTTATGCATATAATTTACATGAGGGGTTGCTTATTCCTTGCAGTAACATCTTCTAGTTGAAAAGCTTTTCTAGTTATATGTTTCAACTGTACACCTGATTTTTTCTTGAAAGTCTGGTCTATACAATAGCGACAAATGAACTGCCATAACTATTTCATCGAGTTACCTCTGCTATTAAAGCTATTACACCTTTAAAACTAAAAGTCTAAATTAACAAAAAATTTTCAAACCCTAATTTGTATTACAAAAAATTATGCTTCTGTAAAAATTGAATTTACTAACATATTTGTCAATTATGCTATCGGGTTACAGGCGAAAATATCGAGGATGAAAATGCGAAAAAAGCAACGCAAGGAGGAACGTCGTGGCGCAAAACATTGTAGGACAAATGAAAGGAAGGAGAAAATATAACAGTCTTAAAGCATCGTGGTAGAAAACAAAGCCGCTCTAAAACTTCGCAGTTTTAAAACATCATTGTACATAATGCTATTAATAAAAAATAAAACACCTATAAATCATCGCGTGATGATAATATCGCAGACATACATTTTCTGATTATAAAAAAATTAATGGAATTTTAGCATAATAATCTGTGAGTAAACTCCGAAATAAGATATATTTTTATCTTATATTTTATATTTTGGTATTAGCTAAAACATTTTTAGTGAAAAAGCGACAAGGAAACTTCAGCATTCAAAATCTGGATATTAGTAAAAGTTAATGATACATATAACAGTTAAAATAATTTTTAAAATCTCTATTCATACAGCAACACGAATTGCGGTTAAAGACTTACAGTGTTTAGCTCATTTTTGAGTAACTTCGCTATGTCTACTTTTCTGGTCTTAGCGAGTATTCGCGAAAGCCAACAGTAAGGTATGATGCTGTGCAATTTAATGCTGAACACGAAAGAGCCTGGAAATGACCCACAATGATTCTTTAATAAAACTTTCATCCGAATCTAACACCGCTGACGTTAATGTATAATGTCTAATTCGATTTCCGTATTCTTAGATTTTTATTCTAAACAAGGTATCCGCCATTCTTGAAGGATGTTGGATTCTTAAGTTAGGGCTGAGTTATCACTTTTGTTTATGAAATCCCCCACTCCAGTTTAATCGAGTAATTGCTGCATGATCTTATGAAACTATCTATCTTCAATTCTTTGAAATATATTATAAAATTCTCTACCACCACTGCTATTACTAATCGTTGGAATGAGTATAATTAATGTAATTCTTCCATCAGGAATCATGGTATGACGAAAATACACCGGGCTTATCCAGCTTTAGGTTTCGCAACCATTGGTCGTAAATATGTATTTTCAGCTACAAAATTGTTCAAAATGAAATAAATATTAATTTGTGGCATTGTTAGATTTAAAGAAATAAATTTTGTGAAAATTAGGAAATTTAACTTTTGTACGTTCCCTCGTTCCACCTATGTTTAGGAGAATTTTGAGATCATCATAAGAAGTGGAAAAAAAAAAAAAAAGTCGACAATCGAAATCATATTCAGGGCCCGTACATAAATTGAAGAGAGAAATGCTTGCCTTTGTGTGTAATTAAAAATAAAATATCAGTTTAGAAAAGAGTTTCTATATTAACAGATTACTTGACGAGCATTTCTACGCAGAATATTGCAAAAAATATTGCTCATTATGCATTTTTGCAAAATGAATATCTTGTTTACAGAATCTTACAGAATTTGTGCTTTAGAAAGACTGGCAGGCTTCGTTATTAATACAGAGATAACTTGAAATACTATTTACATTAATTAATAAGTAAAAATATTTGTACCTTAATAAATTCTTGGACAATTATTAGATTATGATTCTAAAGTAATAAAAAGTCATGAGAATGTTAATAGCGAATTTTCAGACATTGAAAAGTTATAAATGACTAGTTGAATATTCCTTCAGCATGCTAAATGTAACAAAATTACGAATTAAGACATTACTAAATCGCTAAAGAATATCACTGAATAGCATTTAAAAAGCACTGAATGGTATTTAAAAAGATAAAAAATCAATCTCGATTTGTTCCTATTTATTTATTAAATGGCCCTTTGCCGCCCAAACAGTATAGTGGATAGGGGAGCATACTGCGATACCAAAGGGCCCAGGTTCGAATCCCAGAGAAAGCATGAATGTTTTTTTCTATTTACAGTGGCTAGGCAAAAAGATACAAAGAACTTAACAGAGGTTACAAGCAACAGAACTAAGAACAAAAAGACCAAAGAATGTACCAAATGTATCCTGCAGGGGCGTAGAAAGAAAAAAGATTCGAAAACACACTGGCTCCAACTTTAAAACGATACTCAAACTGAGAACCCTCAGTAAAAATGTGAAGCCACTGAGTAGGTGGATATCTAGCCGCTATGGTCTCTAAATCTAGACATTTCAAAATGCTTGATACAACATCTCTCTTTATTTGGATGGTTTCTGCTAGGTCTAGCCTTACTTCGACATTAATCACCTCCAAAGAGCTTCTGTTGTCAGTAGAGGTTGTATATTACCTGGAATGTCAAGTTCTTTTTTAAAGTCCAAGGCTTTTTGAATAAATCCATACTGGGCTTTTAATTTCTTTGGCTTGACTACGTAGTCCCTCCAGTAGGGAACCTCCATCCGCAGTAGCTTTTCATACAGAACCAAGGCCCTCAGTTTCATAATATCCCGAAAGGTTTTGTTTCCTGTCAACAATAACATCGTATCAATAGGTGTGGACTTTACAGCTCCTGTAATCAAGCAAAGAGTTTGGTTTTGCATCACTTAGAGTGTATGAACCATCAATTGTAGGGCAGTGATGAGAGCTTAACAACAATACGTCATTAAAGGCCCGTAAAGGCCCCATCATTAAATTAAATATTAAATGTAATTTTAAGAGTGGACCGGGCTCATCCCCAGATACATACTTCTAGACGCTTATGAATACTAAGTCTATTTGAAACACGCTCGGTAAGCTGCTCCACATGAAGCTTCCAACTTAATTTAATATCAAAAGTCACTTCCATATAAGCAACGTTGTCCGTATTGGTAACTTTAACTAAAGGCGAAATAACTTCATGGGTTAGAGAAAAAGACTGTGAAGCAGCTGTGTTTTCCCAATTTAAAGTCATACTATTTTCTTTACACCAATTCGAGAGCACCTGCAGGACTTTATTTAATCGGCTTTCAATAAGGTTTCTTGCATTATGTTTTGGGAACTCGGTCCAAATTAAATCATCAGCAAAAAAGTAGACAATTAATACCGGTGTTAATTTAAGAGAAGAAACTAGATCATTAATATATATATTAAACAAGCTACAGCTACTAACTGCTCCCTGAGGAAGTCCAGTTTGTAAATTAAAACATTTGGAGAAGCAATCATCAAACTTTACCCTAAATGTCCTCTGGCCTGTGAAAGACCTAATCCAATTAAATAATTTTGATGAAATAGCAATATTTAAAAGCTTCTGGTAGAGCCTCCAGGCAGAATCATAAGTCAAGATAAACAGCTAACAGTAAACATAAACAACATGGATGTTTGTAAATGTGTAGTGTCTTCTCGGCATAGGGGCACTCTAAATATATGGCAAACTGGAAGTCCTTTCATGTGATTTGATCAAAGCTCAGAGGGATAGGAGACTCTCAGATAGTGGTCCTCCTCGAAAATGGGTTGGAAGTAGAAGTTCTACCACCTCGAGGCTTTGGCAACCATTCTTCCATGAAATATATGGACAAAACAACAACAAGTGACCATTTAATGCTAATGGAATGAGGTCAAAAATAGAGAATTTTAAATTAAATATCTCCTTTAAATCTTAAAGGAGCCAAACTTTTCGTATTCCAATATTTTATAACAAGTAAAACATTTTCCTAAATTTAGGGATCTAAGGAACGCGTAAAATGTTAGATTTCGTAAATTTACAAAACGTTTAGAAAACTTATTAAGTTTAAAAATGCCAGAACATGAATATTTCCATCATTTAAAACATTTTTATAACTGGAAACATATGTCTACGAAAAATGGTAGCGAAAATAAAGACCGAGTGGCAATTTATGTGGCCAGCAGTGTCCAAACTTCATGTCAGTAAAATCCGCATGAAGAAATTCAAGAACCTCAATTCGAAAAAGTTCGAGAAAAAGTTCGGAAAGTTCGAGAACCTCAATTGCATGTTTGGGTGAAGAACTACAAGTACCCAAAATTTGGTGCTTCTAGGTGCTGCCGTTTTTCCACAATGCGAGGAACTTGCATCTATGCAAATATTCTTCATATTTAATAGTAGAGATTGTTTAAATCAAACAATAGTTACAAGAATGCTCCTTATGAAACAATATTTTAATGTGATCCTTTTTAATTCGTAAGTTTTTATTTAATTAGTATGTTATTTTTATGTTAATTCTTTCCTCTTGTTTCCATTTCTTCCGTCAGTATTTACTAAACGTTGCTGTTTTCAAAGTGATAACAATTGCAGTTAAAGTTTCAATAATATGTTTTACCTTTCATAATGTACTTTTTTATCTGTCTTATACAAATGTCATATGC